CACTACCTCTCTCAGAGCAGTTCTCCTTTCTGATGAAAGATACCAATACGGTTAAACAATTTTTAAACACTATTTCTCATTATTATATTATACCTAATTCTCTTCCATTAGTATATACTACAATTAATTATACAAATAAACTAGATTTTCTACAAGAACCTGAACTAATCACTGAAGTGAATCTTACTCTACTTATCTCTACTTCTAAGGAGTTAATAATTGCAGCAAGAACACTTTGTGAATTTTATCATTTTTATATAATACTATCTACATAGATAAATATACCTAAAAAACCTTCTAACTTACTTATAGCTGATAAGTAAATACCTAATTTCAATAATGAAATAAATACTTTTATTTCTACTAAAGATCTACAATCTACTATTCATTTCCAATTACTAATTAAGAAGATATTTCAGTAGTAATTCAATTGCTTCAACAATACTTTGAGTTTAACAACTTATCAAACTTTATATTTAGTATCTAAGACTTCCTTTCTTCTCAATAGAACCTCTTTGACAACTAATCTATAGATAATACTAACACAGATATAAGCTCTATAGCAGTAGATAAAGAAAAATCTTTTTTATATAAATAACTTAATACACAACTCAAACCAGAACATACCTAACAACAATATATCTAATTACAATAATATTACTAATATTTTACTAGAATAAATAAGGATTGTTATATATAATATTCATAGATTGAACAACTTAACCAAACTACAATAATAAATTTCTTATTGCACAGAAGAAAATCTACATATTGTTTTAATTACTAAAACTAAACTAAAATGATCTAACTAATCTCTCACAAATCCTCTATATAGAATCTTTATATTTAATCATATTCTTACATCAATACAAAATAGAGAAGCAAGTTTTGATATAGCTCTAATAGTCTATAATTCTATTCAAAACTATATTCATAATATTGGTATATATCTAGGAATAGCAATCTATCTAGATTTGTTTTTTCCAAATAACAATAAATACTACATTATATCAGTATATCTGCTATCTAATCATCTAAAGCTCCTTACTCATATACAATAACAGATCAATTTATGGATATTAGAAGCAAAACAAAAGAACTAGTATATTATAATACTTAGAGATTTTAACTCACATATCTGATTAAACAAAAAACAATTCACTCTTTTAACTAATTTTTCTTACAATAATTATATGTGCCTTCTGCAATTTCACAATATAACTATTTCTATATAGCAAAACAACTACTCTAGTTCTCAAATTGATAACATCTAAGTTTCACCAAATATACTACTAGATCTTGACCTTTCTAATCTAATTAATACAACTAGAATCTCTAATAATGACTATCTAATTATATATACAACTTGGCAAACAAACTTTCTACTTTCTGCTTCTAAGAAAAAAAGTAAAAAAAGAAAAATATATCTATATGATAAAATGATAACAGAAAACTAGGAGGACTTTAGAGATAAAGTAAATTCTTTAACTCAGTCTATAATATAAAATACAGATATTACAGATATTAGTACTTTAAACAAACAATAGTATACATAGTTAGTAGCTATTAAAGAAGCAACTAATATACATATTCTATCTATATTTAGAAGACCTATACCTCAGTATGTTCTATTTCTCAAAACCTCTAAACTGCAAACTACACTACTTTTATAGCTTAGTTTTAACTCTGCTATCTATAGATATCATATACTAGTTAATATTTCTCAACAAACAGATAAAAAAGGCAACAACACTATCAAGTATATCTATACCTCCTCTAATATCTATTTTAATCAGTTCACTAGTCAATTTTGATTTCCAAACTTTATATTATAAGCAAACTATAAAAGTAATAAGAGCTCTAAAAACAAATATATAGAAAAATCATAATACTAAAAGAAATCTAGAACAACTTGAACGTATTCAATATTATGTTCAATACTATTAAACTAATTTCAAAAATAATACTATATATATGATTAATAGTATTCTTAAACAGAATATAGATAATGTTAATTTTGAGAAAATAATTTTACTAGATACTATTATCACAGACTATTAAAAAATAAAGAAAGCTACTTATCTGCACTTTCAAAACTAGATAAAATCTAATTCACTGAATAATAAAGAATGGAAAAACTGGGAACCCTACTATGCCTCAAAATTAAATATACAAAATAATATCTACATATCTCTAATAATCTCAATTATAATAAAGAAACTAATACTAGTAATTAATACTATACCACTATATAAAACTACTGAGCTATTAGGTATCTTAAATAAAATACTATAATATCTATCACAGAAAACACTACTATATCTACTCAAAATTCTAAATGCCTATATACTTCTAGAAAGTGTATCAAATCAATAGTTAACATCAAATATTTGGTTTATTTCAAAAAAAGCTATTTACAACTTTGATTTGAATTATACTTATCCAATTACCTTAATTAATCATACTCAAAAAGTTTTTACAAAAATACTTACTAACCAAAAATTTTTATTGAAGCATTAATACTCTTCCTGATAATCCCTAAAACCAAAATAATAATGAAAAGCAAAAACTTTTATATATATAATAATACTCTATTTTCTAATATAATATATACAAGTAAAACTGAAAAAACTAGAAGTTTAATAAAATATGTTTTATCGTTAAAGAGTAGGCTACAAGCTATTTATAAATTATTGATGCTTTTATATATTGTATATATTATATATCTTATATATATTTTATATACTTTATTATTAAAAATAAGCCTTGTAGATATAAAAGTTAAAGAAAATACTTGAATAGAGTCAAGTATAATACTACTTCTTATACTTTTCAAGTTTATTTTAGATATCCTTACTCTTACTTCTAAACCTTTGGTCAGTCTTAGGAATAGTTTTGACCATTTGGCGAACTTGAAGTATTTTTTGTACAAAAAGTAGGGAATAGAGCTCACCTCCTATTAAAGATCAGCATGTATATTTTTAACAAATTTGGAAGTAAGCTTATGATATGACAATAACAAACATGTATATATTTTGACGTTAACACAACAAATATGTATTTTTATTTTGCAATATAAATATGAGTTTACTGCAATAATTATGAGCTATTATATGTTTGACAAAATAACTGAATTGTTATCAAATATTAGAGATATTCACAAATAAGTATATTTTGCATTTATAATTTTTAACTATTCAGTCTTGAACAGGATTATATGTTTAGATTATAATTCTTATGAGACGCTTTCTATTTTTTTTTTCTTTTTGTTTTTATTTGTTTTGTATCTTTTCTTTTTAGCTTATTAGGTTTTTATCTTGTTAGCAAGTTTTTCTAACTTGCTTTGAATATTATATGTAGTATATAGCCTTGCTTTTTACTATATGTAACAATTTTATTTTACTTTTATCAATATCTGTCTTTTTAAACAGTCAGACAAAATTGTCTAGACTTCTCTTTTTCTTTATATTAAGAAGATTTTTAGTATAATAGGTCATGTTTGGGCATATATGCAAATGGAGTATCAAGTAGTACTTTCTATTAAGAAATTAGATATATAGAAAGGAACTATAAGTTTTGTTATTAAGTTAAATCTTATGCAGACTAGCTATTCGTAACTCTTTATCTAATAAATATGTAAAGTGTGACTATTAAAGGGAAAAAAAAAATATTAAAAACTCTAAAGAGTGAATAACTACAAGAAAACTTACTAAATAGTAGTTAATACTTAAAAGCAAACTAGTAGCAAAGAATAGTATAATAAACAAACTAGAAATAAAAGATTATATAGACTGCAGATATGAAATAATAAAAGATAATTAAAAAAGAATGATTAATAATCTGCTAGAAAAACTGTTTAAAAGAATAGTAATTAATAGATTACTTTTAAATAAAAGAAAAGTAAAAGAACTCTGTAATGAGTGAAAAGAAATTCTTAAGAAAATAGCTGATTATTTTAAAAAGCAATTCAAAAAAAGAAACTTCTAACAAGAAAAATTCTCATACAGCTAGAAAAAAGTATATAAACTAATAATAAGAATTTATGAAAGCTACTATAAAAACCTAAACAGTAGAATAATAGAAAAACAATAGAACTTAATGCTACAAAAGTTCAAAACAAGCATAATATCAGATTTATTAAGAATTAAATATATTTTAATTAAATAAATAAATACAGAAACACAAATAGCTTTTAGGAATTTTGTTAATAAATACTTAAAAACAAATAGAATTTTACTTAAATAGAAAATCAAACAGAATTATCTAATATCTAAAAATATAAACTAATAATTTAATTTAAACAATATAAGGCTAATGACATTTTTAGAAATATTTAAAAAATGTATAACTAAAGTTTACACAATTAAATTAGAAAGAATAATAAAAAAAAAAAAGAATATATTAAAAAAATCAAACTTTACAAAGCTAATAAAAAGTTCAACAGAAAACCTAATTCATATCTTAAACATGATAATAAAAAAAACAAAAAAAAAAACAAAAGACTTTGAATAATACTACAAAATATAAAAAAAACATTTAACTCAGTAAATCTAAATTCATTAAAACTAGCATTGCAAAAAATAAAAATACTAGCAATAGAATAGAATTTTATATTAGATTTGTTTGACAAAAAACAAACTAGAATAGTTATTGCACTAGGTCTAACAGAATCAATAATAGCAAAAAATAGAGTAAAGTAAGAAGTGATTTTATCTTTAATATGAAAAATCTTCTACAATCCCTTGCTAACAAAAATTAAGAAAAATACTCAGCTCAAGTATGAAATGGAAGTTTCTTAGAAAGAAAATCTCAAAAAGAAAGAAAGAAAAACTCAAAGAATAAGACAAGCTGTAGTTGCCTTTGTAGATAATACCACATAAATAGCAAGCTCTAAAGAGCAACTTGAAGAAACTATTCAAATTGCAGAAAAATTCTTCAAGTTTAACAATATTCAGATAAATCCATCCAAGAAACGCTTTTTAGAAAAATGAAATATTAAATTATATTCTGACCTTGTCCGGTAGTGTAGAAGGTGCCTCTTCCTCCAAATTCTCGTTCTTTGCATACAACTCATTCAACAGATCTTTTTCAATCTGCTTGGTAGTTATTTCTCGTAGTAAATAATCTTGATTTCAGATATTTTTCGTCGCATCCAGAATCTGTCTGGTCTAAAATGAACCTTTCAGTATACTAACATTGAGATCAGGTATAATAAGGTATCAAGTAAACATAACTAACCTGTTCAATATGAATCTGGTTTTTTAATTCGTTCTTTGCCAGATTAAATCCAATATTGTTAGGAAGTGTCAAGCTATTAAATTTCGGACATACCATAAAGACAACTTACTTGTTGCAACTGAGCTTCCTCCTCAAGTACCTTGCTATTCATATGAATGGTTTGTCTCTTCGTTTGTAAATCCCAAAAAGAAATTAATGATTGCGATTTTTTATCAAGCTTGTTATAGAAAGAATATTAATAAATCTAAAGAAAACATTTGACCAGCCTGAAACAACAGACAAACATGTAGTCTTTCCCTTGCAATGTAAGGTAGTCCGTTGAAACATTAACAGCCCACTGCATGCTCACCAACTGACCGCAGTCTTTTCCCACTGCCAACCGCAATTGGCAGGGTAGTTGATGACGGAGTGCTAAAGTGTTGCACTGAATACTAACATGCAATTTATTACATGCTCGCCAACTGACCGCGGTCTTTTCCCACTGCCAACCGCAATTGACAGGGTAGTTGGTGACAAAACTAATACAACTCAGGCTGTTTAATCAATCAAAAAAAAAAAAATAAATAGCTTGCCTTAAATGAATTAATCAATTTTGTTACTTTTTTCCTGTTTTCGGACGTTTCAGAATAGTACCCTTTGATCGTTTCCAATTCACTTTTGTACTGAGAGTACTCCGTTTTTTATCTTCTAGAACACCGTTTTGGAATCGAAAATCTAGAAACTTTTTAAGTGAAGGATCGTCTGTGCTTTCTAAAACTCTACATATTCATAGACGACAAGTTACATTATAATTCGTTCTCATAAGAAATCACTACCACAGTTTAACTTACCATGGGTTTTCAGTGCGTTGAGACAATCAGTTAACAAGTGCATTTTGAAATCAAACAAAAAATTACGCGTTCCTAATTTAGGCCACACAAAATTATATACTTGGTTTTCATATCATGGGATGGTGAGCAGTGACGCGGGCGCACGGCTTTTTTTTTTTTTTATATAAAAAAAATTTTTTTAAATAATGCTATTAACGTTAATGACATTAAAGCCCATTTTTACAAAATAGATTCATATAAATTTTGACATGATCGACATTTTTCAATAATAAAAAATCAAGATAATACTGTAACATAAAAGAAATATTTAACGAGTATTCCAAAGGCAAACGCATCACGAGATTACCCGATAGTCACCTGTTACCTTTAAC